GAGAATACGCTTTGCAGAATGCTTTCGGTTCAAAATTATTTCCGCTTCTGACAGCGCTTTGCTAATGCAGTCTCAGCAAATGAACAGACGTTAACGGTTTCGCTGCCTAAGCTACCAAATTAAGTGCAATACTAAGGGCTATGTTTTTAATGCGAAATGCCTTTTCTGTTCTGCAGCGATTCAGTATGGCTGGTAACTGTTTTATGTGTGGGCTGGCGAAATACCTTATGTAATATGTTTTCCGTGACCGACTGCTTCCATCAACGACAAAGTGCATTTCTGGTGGCTTTGGCGCCTCTAGCAACTGCCTTATGCATTTACTTTGCCTTCGATTATTTTTTGATTGTGCCGGGACTAATTTGTATCGACCAGATTTTACAATGTAACAGCGAGGAACATTTCATTTGATTTTCACTGACACAAAAACTGAGCAGGAATGGGGTGACTTGATACAATAAAAATAAAACCTCGAATACGACTTCTCATCATCATTACGTAGCAGGTCTTTTGCAGAACGTTGCTCTTATCACGGTCTGCATGAAAGAAACTCGGTCTCTCGCCAGTTCTCCATCGTCATGTACTTTCATACTCAAGGAGTCACTTATATCCTGTGACCATCTTCGTTTTGGTCGGCCCCTGTCCCTCCTTCCTGGTACCATGCTTTCTGCTGTAACTTTTTCCAGTCCGTCGTTGCACTTGATATGACCAAAATATTTCAGCTTCCGAGACTTCAACTTCCGTCTATTAGCTAATCTTCCTTGATGTTCAGATCTTTCAAGATCTTAGTATTTCTCCTCTTCATTGTCCAAAATATTCTGAGAATCTTTCTATAGCATTTTAGCTCAAAAAGCATAGTCGACGACTCACATCCGTATGTTGCTACAGGGAAGATTTAACTACTTCTACAGAAAGTTTTTTGGGGTCTGCCTCCTCCAGGATTGCAGTCTGCAAGATTTAACATCTCAACGATGAGAATCCTACCTGCTTAAATCCCTGAATCCAAGTCAGCCCTGGCCAACCTTAAGTCTTTATTGAAGCCACCGCCGGCTACAAGGTGACCTAAAGTCAGGGTTGGACAGGGTTACAAATCGTCTCCAGCATTTGTTTGACGGTTTGTGGTTTGCTAGTCAGTTTTACACTCAGTAGTTTGACATTGTTTACCAAACTGTTGTTGCTCAGTAACACTGTCGAAGTTCAACATATCAAGGCAACACTTTTGGCCAAGAGAAACACTGGTGCAAGTCAAACTTTACGGGTCGCTGAGTGAATTACAAAAGACAGTGAAGTTCATACTAGAGACAGCATTGCAGATATAGATAATTTATATCAAGTCAACTAAAGAATAATAATAATAATAATAATAATAATAATAATAATAATAATAATAATAATAATAATAATAATAATAATAATAATAATAATAATAATAATAATAATAATAATAATAAGATTGTTGCAATCATAGCAAAACAGTCTGCTGCCAAATCTGGTGTAGTCGGAGTTGTGAACTATGTTCTTAACCCTAAGCCGCGGACGTTGTTCACTATTGAATTGTCAAATAAACCTTAGACACAAATGAACCTCCAGTAAACAGAGAAGACAAAAACTGCATTTAAGGCCTAGATGGGTTGAAAAGGATATCTCTGATTTAAAGAATTATGGGTGGCCCGTAAATCAGCAGCAGCAAGACGATTCACTTGTCCACGGAAAGGTGTTGAGTTCGAAACCGCACTGGTCATCCAGGGCGACCCAGCCTAAAACTGATACCAAAAATGTCACGGAAAGTTAACACCAGGGTCGCATTAAACATTAAGTACACTAAGTACATGTTTAGGGCATCACAAGTGTAAGGGGTGCTACATACACATTTTTCTTTAGTATCCAGAAGCCATGAGTTGTTAACCCTTAGGCTCGGTATTATGGATATCGCAACACTTCGGCCTTGATTCCATGATAAATACCGTAAATCTGGGAGAAATGTGACTTTTCTGCCTACCCTCGGGCGTGAAGGGGTTCGTCACCCGGTCACCGCGCAGTCCGGTTTAGCCAACAACGCTAGAGAGCCGACGACAAAAACTTTAAACCGCATCGGTTGAAGTGTGTGTATGTATGTGTGTATGTATATATACACACACATATAAATTCCCACCAGAATAACGATGCAACAAGGCAGGTTGGACACCTTATATCTGTAGAGTAATAGATATGTTACGTAAGTTTAGTCAGAGGATTAAAAAAAAAATCGGACAAAACTTGTCAAACATAAAATAAAAGTACACAAAGAAAAAAAAAAAACGATATTTTTTTTTTATCTTTCTGAAAGTTTTGTTTTATTTTACTGAATATAGTTGTATTTTATTGTTTATTATTGTTTATATTTCGAAACACATATGCTGTATATGGGGACACCAATGCCGTCTTGATCCACTAGCCTGCTGGGCCCTTGTAAGGAGTGCCCACGGGCAAAAGAGTCCTATGCTAATTTGCATATGTCAAGTAACCATTGAGATGAGTGGTTGTGTGAGTGCTTGTTGTTATGCAACTAACAAACTCCAATAGACTTACTACATCGTGGTGCTGATAGAGTTTAAATTGGGCATTTAGGATTCGTCCTGTGCAACTTACCTTGATATTGCGACTCTTCAAGCCACAGTATTGATAAACCTTCAGAAAGCAGCAAAACCAACTTTTCATTTAGTCAGCCATTATGATGATGGTGGTTGTTATGGAAACCACTTTGCCGCCGCTTGAGCCCACGAACAGTGTGTGCGCGTTCTCGTTCGCGCGTGTTTGTCTTTACTAACAATTTTTGTTTATCTAAAGACTTCGCGGAACTCTAGGACCAGTGTTGCCACTTTGGATCTTTTATATCCAAATTTAGATCTTTTTCATTGCATTTAGATACTGTTTTTGACGTTTAGATCGTAAATATTTTTCTAGATATTTTTCATATGGAGCTAGATATTTTATAGATTTTTTTTCTTTCATTGTCAATTTAATCATTACTGTGTAAAATATTTACTACAATATTGTTGTTTTGGTCTGGCAAAGTTATGAAATTTTTAGGGGCTACTGATAATAGTGTCGCGGAAGAAGAATATCAGTTAACCAAAATAAAGTTTGCTGAATGGACAAACAAAACAGAAACTAAAGCGTTTTGGAGTGAAGTGAGACATTTAAAGATGCCTCATAAAACAGTCAATTCTGTAAGCTCTTTAAAGTGCCATATCTGCCATGATACTACCCCACTCAAATGCTGATGTAGAAAGAGTTTTCAGTGCTAGGAATTATATCAAATCTAACCTAAAAAACAGGATGAAATTTACGTCTTAAATGATATCGTGCCATTAAAATTCGGCCTGATGAGACTAGAGAAATAAGCCTACTGTTCCACTTATAAAGAAATTTGAACAGCTTAAGCATACCAGGGTCATTTTGGATCTGAAGCTTCAACTCCATTATCCAAGCTAAGTTTATCCTGTGGATCTTGTGAGGCAGACATCAGTGAAGGTGAGGACATGATTATGTAGGGTAAGTCTTAACAAAAGCTATGTAAATTTTGACTTTTTCAATTTGGATGTTTTTTCTAGATCTTTTCCATGCAGATTTAGATCTTTGTAGATAAATTTTAACACCGTTTTGGATATTTTTTGTCAAAGAAAAGTGGCAACACTGTCTAGGACACACGAACGTGATACTAAGGCATGTTGCTAAAGTTAACATAAAATAGCCACTATGTAAAATTCGGATAATGGGATTCGGCATTTGAAGGCTGTCCCATGTTTTTAAAAATGTCTGTTTATAAGTGACATTAGCTCTGCACTTTATAAGGCAGTTTAACAGTATGATGTAAAAAGAAAATGGTATGCCACATTTATTTGGAACAAACAATGTGAACATTGCAAACTACTGTAATATTAGGACGGTAAATAGTAAGAAATACTGTAACATAAAGATACAAAAGTAGTAAGAGCTACTGTAATATTACGATCTGAATGTTATTACGATAGAAAAGTAAAAAGTGCTGTTGTAGTATTACATTCTGAAGGTAGTAAGAGCTAGCGTAATGTTAGGATATGACAGTTATTGGGACAAGAAAGTTATTAAGATTGAAAAAAAAAATAATGGCTAATGTAGTTTTTACAGTTGGAAAGTAGTGAGAGCTACTGAAGTATTATGATAGGAAATTAGGAAGAAATATTGTTCTTCACAGGAAAGTTTTTAGGATAAGAAAGTTTATCACTGGCAAGTCGTAAAGGTAGTTGAGTTTTAATTTTATGATAAGAAAATAGTTAAAACTACTTTAATTTAACGATCCGAAAGTCGTAAGATCAATAATGGCTGTGTTGTTTGACAGTCTATAGATGTGCCAACTGGTATTAAGGTATATACACTTTGAGATTTTCAGCGGTACTAAGAAGTTAGTGCATTCTGTCGTGTGAGTTTCTTTAGTGATCTATTAGAGGAGAGTTGCAAAACATATGATGTAGAACAACCCAGATGATGTAGAACATCCCAGATGATGTAGAACAACCAAGATGATGTAGAACAACCCAGATGATGTAGAACAACCCAGATGAAAGGGATCAGTCTGTGAATCACGTTCTAGTGCTGAAACGGAAATAAACTGACTATAGGCTAGACTCGCCGGCTCGTGTATATTTCCAAAAGTAAGTCAGTTACTTCCGTCTGGATGCAAAATGTTGGGACTCAAATTGTAGGTCAGGACTTAAAAGGTGAGGTAGCTAGTTACTTTCCTCTTCTTAAATTAGGACAATTGTGAGCATCTACGCTCTGGGACATTTGCTGTGGGAGACTGAGCATCTACGGGTATGACCAGTGCGCTACTGGAAAAATCAGCATCTACTTTCTGAGACATTTGCTGCGGGAGACGGAGCATCTATGGGAATGCCCGCAAAGCTACGATGTCGATTCGTAAATCAGTAATATATAACCAGAACTGCGACAATTTACTCCACGAGTAAAGATAGTTATACACAATGAACAACACAAATTGCACACCGTGTTACATCAAACTGTGGGGTAACTTCCACATATTTTGTATCGGGATGTGTTTGGGCCTTGTTGTGTTCAACTTGAACGTGTTGATAATTGTAACAATAATAAGATCTAAAGCTCTGCACACCAACACAAACATCTTCATCGCGTCAGTTGCTCTGCTGGATTGTTTCATGGCGATGACAGACTTCACTCAAGGCCTGGTTTACAGCACTGAACTCAGGTTAAACAGGAACAATATGAACGTTGTTGACGCTGTCCTTCTTGGAACAGGAACCAGTGCTGTAACATTATCATATACACATATGGCTATACTTGCAGTTGACCGCTATATCAACATCGCCCATCCGTTTTACTATATTTCAAATGTTACAAAGCGACGTGTCATTGTTGTTCTATTTATTGTGTGGTTATCTGGGCTGGTTTATTGCATTATTCCCGGTATTTACTATAGAGATAACAAGTATCATAGACACTGTATTACTTCCAATCCCCCATCAGAATATTTTATTATCAACGCATCATTTAACCTAGTTGACTATGTCATAATTTTTATATGCTACTTTAGAATATCATATTTGGCTTTCCGGCATAAAAAAGCTGCCAATGTCCGCAGAAAACATACAGAAAACCCAGAGAATGTTTTCAAGATACGGAACAACCGAACAGCCGCAGCGAAGAGCGTCAAATTTTTCATTTGTCTGTTTGGGGCCTTTTTTGTCTTAACTTTCCCGCCTGGTTTAACAACCGCAATGACACTTTTATCTTACGACATTCCAGAAAGCGTTCTGTTGTCAATTCTATACTTTTACGAAACGCATTCACTTGTTAATTTTTTTATACTCGTTCATTTAAACAATGGTTTTTCTTGCGGTTTAAAGAAACTGTTTCTAGATATGACCAGTTTCTGCAGGTCACAGAGGGCAGGTTGTAACCATAAACCTCAATAAATGACCGACGAAGTACACGATGAACGGCGTCCGTGGTTTAGGTGTTGCCAGCCGACTCGCAATTCCAACGTACAGCGATCGAAACCCAACCGCTGGCTGGGTAGATTTTCTTTATGGTATGAGGCGTCGCAGGGCGACCCAGCCTAAAATAGGTGCCAGGGTGTGTGTCCTGGGGAAGCAAAGACGGCCGGCATAATGCTGACCACATTACCCACCTAGTGCCGATTCGCCTGTAAAAATATTGGTGCTCTTCCCCTATGCTCGATGCGCCTAAAGGCGTGAAAAGGCATCTCTACATTTACTTAGAAGCTACACGATGTAGAAGCCGTAGTAGCCGGTGTCATTTAGAAATTTGACTTGTTCATCATAGGACACAGTGGGCTGGAGGCCGACGACGAAATCAGACAGACTTGAATAAAAAACTTCAATGAATTATTACCAAAATTAAAGCTTTATCTTTCAGGGTTACTGTGTGTTTTCTGTGCACTATGAAGCGCACTTGGCCAGAGGTCCAACACGAAATCAAACAGTTCGATTAGGATCCACTGATAATGGTAACAGTACATTATAGGCCGTTCAAAAATTTATGAACATGAATCGATTTTAGTAAAATATCAAGGCGATTGTAAGACATTCATGATGTTAAAGATTTTTTTTTTTAAATTGCTAATAAAGAATATCATATTAAGTTGTTCTTCTTCTTTACAATATTTATTTTTACCATGAGGCCGTCTTGGTAGAGTTGAATAAAAGAATGAATGAATGAAGAATTGACATCAATGCGCTCAGGACATTCCCATACGTGCTCGGTCTTCTTCTTCTTTGAGAGGTGTGGAAGCTTTATTTTCATTTGTTTCCGGAAGTAATGTTAGTAAGCACACAATAAGGGTTCAACAGGGGGTTAAACAAAACAAAACAAAACTACGTGTTTCACGTTTCCTCTGTGTTATCTGATTATGGAGGCTCTACAGCAGGGATATTCAACTGGCAGCCCGCGGGCTAAATGTGGCCCGCAGAGTCCTAGCAAGTGGCCTGGGGGATGCTAATTGTTTGGTATTATAGATCTTTCAATGATGGGACTCGGTCCTCTGGCTCACGACGATCCCCATTTTCTAACATTTTGACCCCTGAATTTCACTAAGTTGAATGGCCTGTTGACTTACTGACTTTGTACCCACTGATAACAAAATATTTAAAAAAAAAACATAATGGGGAAAACGTGAAGACAAGAGAATGAGGTGGAAAACGATACAAATTGGAGGACAACATCTAGAGATGGACCAGCAGGGGTCTAAGAGAATTACATTCAAAGATAAGAGACAGAGCTTGTTGGAAACTGATTGCAACCAACCTTCAGACGCACTGGGCATATAGTCAGTCAGTTGCATGTCCTTTGCACAACCTTGCTCTCATAATAACCCTACGGAAAACTTCTCGATCACAGGCATGATGTCCCGCATCCGATACATTCATCTCGAGATCGTCCGCCATATCCTGCACCCATCTTCTATTTGGCCTTCCTCTTCCTCTCTTCCCAGGCATGCACCCCTCCATTATTGTTCTCTCTAAACTTTAGTGATTTTTCAAGTGACCAAAATATTTTAATTTGAATAATTTTCTGTGTTTCATCGTCTTTAATAGTCAACCTTCTTCAATAGTGAGCTCTTGAAGTATGGGTGAATTAGTTCTTTTCTTTACCCATGATATTTTTATAACCCGTCTATAACATTTGTATTTAAATGCATTTATTCGCTGTTCAGCTTGTTTAGTAAGTGTCTAGGTCTCACAGACCTATGTTGCAATGGGAAAGATGCATGCATGCTCTTTGAAAACTAATGTTTGTAGTTCTGTCTGTCCCACTCCATAACTGATTTATTTATTTTAGTCTTTGAAGAGCAATTGATAGTCGTCGTTTAATTTCTTTTATTGTGTCACCATTGTTGGTAATTAGTGACCCAAGATATTCACAATTTTCCACAACCTCCAATCTTTCATCATTAACATATATTTCTGTTTCCATAGTAGTTGTATCTGTATGCATTATCTTTGTTTTTGCTGTGGTAATATATAAGTTGTGATTGTCACTATTTCTTTGAGTTGAGTTTATTAAGTTTTCTATACCACTGTGATGTGGATAGCAATACTGTATCATCGGCAATCGGATCTCTGGTATTTCATGACCACCGATATTTAGGGCATCATATAGCTCTCTGGTCATATCATCTCCGACATTTCTCATTATATTTTCAGTGTACAGGTTAAACAAATAGGGAGACGGCACACAGCACTTACAGACTCCTTGCTTGATGTCAAACCAGTCTGATGTTTTGCCATCAATTCTAACCGCGGCTTTTTGGTCTAGATAGAGCATTATTATGAGGTGTAATACATGTGATGAAAAATCCATATTCCTCATGATTTCACAAAGTTTATGACGTTAAACACAGTCAAATGCCGTTGAATAATCTACAAAACATAAGAATAGGTTTACATGAAATTCTCTGGACTTCTCTATTATCAAAGCCATGTTGAGGATGTGATCTCTTGTTCCTCTTCCTGGTCTCAATCCAGCTTGGACAACGGTAATCTCTTCTTCCTGGTCTAAATCCAGCTTGGACGACGGTAATCTCTTCTTCCTGGTCTAAATCCAGCCTGGACAACGGTAACCTCTTCTTCCTGGTCTAAATCCAGCCTGGACAACGGTAATCTCTTCTTCCTGGTCTAAATCCAGCTTGGACAACGGTAATCTCTTCTTCCTGGTCTCAATCCAGCTTGGACAACGGTAATCTCTTCTTGCTGGTCTAAATCCAGCTTGGACAACGGTAATCTCTTCTTCCTGGTCTAAATCCAGCTTGGACAACGGTAATCTCTTCTTCCTGGTCTCAATCCAGCTTGGAACACGGTAATTTCTTCTTTCTTTTTTTAATGAAGTCTTTCCATTGTGATTTTTAGTAGAATTTTACTCGCATGACTTATCAGGGCAACAGTTCTATAGTTGGTGCATAATTTCAGTTTGACATTTTTAAATATTGGAATAAAGATAGTTCTCTTTCAATCATTTGTCCATATACTATATTTTCATGTCTTTTTATATTATGCTTGATAGATTTGTATGCTTTCTTTCCCTCTCGCTTTAATTAGTTCAGCTGTTATCTCATCACATCCTGGTGATTTACCATTCTTCTGATTCTTTATTGTCCATGCAATTTCATCTAATGAGGGTTCCGGTTCTGTCTCTGCTGTCATACGTTGATGTATATCATTCATATCCTCATATTCATTCATACATTACACTGCATTATTCCTGCCATATTTCTTGAATGTGTCTGGATTCTGTCAAGGTATTTCCCAACTTGTCACAGATGGGCAAATAATAACAGAACTATATTTTGTAGATCAATTAGCATTCGGTGGGTGATGTGGTCAGTATCAAGCCGGCAGCCTTTACTTCCCAGGGCTGTGCCCGGTACCCATTCAAAGCTGGGCCAACCAGGGAGCCAAGGTCATCTTTTGAAAAATTCGAACTCTCTCAGCACCTGAACCTACGACTTTCGGATCCGCAGACGAGCGTTTATCCACTACACCACAGTGGCCCCCGGAGACGGTAAAGAATAAGAATAAGGCGCATTGGGCACATAGTAACATAACTATTTTTTGTAGACCAATCAGTACTCTGTGGGTGATGTCTTTAACATCACCACGCCCGCCTTTACTTAAGGCTGGGTCAAACTTGGAGCCTAATTCGTTTCCGAAACCTTCCGGAGGATTTGAACCCATGACCGTAGGAAACACAGGCGAGCGTCTAACCGCCACACAACAGCGTCGACAAATAATGAAGTAGAGTATTAATAATTGTTTCGTTTCTACAATGACCTTGGTGTCTGTGGCTTAGGGTTGCGAACGCACTTCGTTATGCTGGGGTGCCGAGTTCGATCCCAGCTGCGGACAATTTGTCTTGCGTTGGTTTCGGCAATGGTACCGAGATCTGACCGTTCAGAGGCAGAGGCATACTACTGAACGTTAATTTGTCTAGAAAAACCACAATAGCTCCCTAACCCTACTAGACTAACCCTAACCCTAACCTAACCCTAACCCTAACCCTAACCCCTAACCCTAACCCTAACCCTAACCCTAACCCTACCCTAACCCTAACCCTAACCCTAACCCTAACCCTAACCCTAACCCTAACCCTAACCCTAACCCTAACCCTAACCCTAACCCTAACCCTAACCCTAACCCTAACCCTAACCCTAACCCTAACCCTAACCCTAACCCTAACCCTAACCCTACCCTAACCCTAACCCTAACCCTAACCCTAACCCTAACCCTAACCCTAACCCTAACCCTAACCCTAACCCTAACCCTAACCCTAACCCTAACCCTAACCCTACCCTAACCTACCCTAACCCTAACCCTAACCCTAACCCTAACCCTACCCTAACCCTAACCCTAACCCTAACCCTAACCCTAACCCTAACCCTAACCCTAACCCTAAACCCTAACCCTAACCCTAACCCTTACCCTAACCCTAACCCTAACCCTAACCCTAACCCTAACCCTAACCCTAACCCTAACCCTAACCCTAACCCTAACCCTAACCCTACCCCTAACCCTAACCCTAACCCTAACCTACCCTAACCTAACCCTAACCCTAACCCTAACCCTAACCCTAACCCTAACCCTAACCCTAACCCTAACCCTAACCCTAACCCTAACCCTAACCCTAACCCTAACCCTAACCCTAACCCTAACCCTACCCCAAACCCTAACCCTAACCCTAACCCTAACCCTAACCCTAACCCTAACCCTAACCCTAACCCTAACCCTAACCCTACCCTAACCCTAACCCTAACCCTAACCCTAACCTAACCCTAACCCTAACCCTAACCCTAACCCTAACCTAACCCTAACCCTAACCTAACCCTAACCCTAACCCTAACCCTAACCCTAACCCTACCCTAACCTAACCCTAACCCTAACCCTAACCCTAACCCTAACCCTAACCCTAACCCTAACCCTAACCCTAACCCTAACTAACCTAACCCTAACCCTAACCCTAACCCTAACCCTAACCCTAACCCTAACCCTAACCCTAACCCTAACCCTAACCCTAACCCTAACCCTAACCCTAACCTAACCCTAACCCTAAACTAACCTAACCCTAACCCTAACCCTAACCCCTAACCCTAACTAACCCTAACCCTAACCCTAACCCTAACTAACCCTAACCTAACCCTAACCCTAACCCTAACCCTAACCCTAACCTAACCCTAACCCTAACCCTAACCCTAACCCTAACCCTAACCCTAACCCTAACTAACCCTAACCCTAACCCTAACCCTAACCCT